GACCATCATAAAATGCCAGACTGATAAGGGGAAAAAAACCCCATGTCTCCCTTTAGACCTGCCTGGGTTGCTTCCCTAGTCATTACACCCCTGAGTAACAAACGTGATTATATTTAACACAAAGTTTTTCTTCTTTTCTCATATTTCTGCCTGGGTAATTTCCTTGTTCATAGCATCTCCCTCCAAAAGCTGCCTTCTAATCTTGCCCTTGTGGGATGTCAGTGCTTCTGTGTCTCTAACAGAAGAACTGTTCCAAAGTCATTTTAACAGCTCTCTTCAGCTCACCCATGACTGAAGTGAACTCTTCAGTAAATGCTGTCAACCTCAAGTTAAAGTGGATGTTCCACTGAATCCTGTAAACTCAACGAGCAGTTTTCTCCCCTTATCGTGAATTGCCAGGAACAGGTTATAAGGCATGACCAGTGGAAGCCACCTCTGTAACCTCAGCAGGATACTGAGATGGTATATCCAGCTGGATAGCCCTGTCCAAAAACCGCAGTAGTTCAGCATCAGCAATCCAAAGGAGACACTGTTTCCTGCCTCCCAAAACCTGAAGTTCAAAATAAAACCTGGTTTCCAGTCAAACGCTAACATGGGTGACTCCATTATAAACTGTTGTTCCCCCTCAGGGTGACCTCATTCCTACTGACCCCTTTGCAGAATGAGTCTGCAAATTCTCTCTACTGACTGATTGGTAATATCTCCCTCCCAATGGTCATGTCTCCTTTCTCGAGAAGCCATGACACTGAAGCATTATGGCCAAAGTAACAGAACATAGGTCTTGCGCGGGGCTTGGCATGTCCAGGACAAATGCAACTGGCTATATAGAAAGGCTGAATGTGAACCTAAAGCAGGAAGTCAACAGCAGCCACTGATTTCCACCCAGGCTACATTATCCCTGAGGGCACCTGCTGTGATTTTGAATGAAGCCTTTAATAAACTCATGGAATGTGAGAGGTGGAAAGTCCTTGTAAATTTTGAAGACCAAGAAGATGGGTGTATGCAAGACATATACCAGTAACTTGAGAATGAGTGTTTCAAGCAGAGACACTGTGGAAAACAATCCTACACAATTAAAGCTTTCCCGCCTCCTCAGTGTTCACGTGACCTATCCTGAGGGAACAAACAGTAGCTTCAGCACAGAGACTTTGCCTAAACTTTTTCTCTGAGGAACTCCATGCTCCTTTTACATGTTCTCAGTGGACTGCATTCTCAGCCCTTACCATGTAATAATCTACTGGCCTCTGGGATAGGGGGCTGTTTCCTTCTCAGAACAGTTCTTATTTCAGAAGAGAACCAGAACATGAGAACACCTTCTAGAGTGATGGAAATGTTCTATATCTTAATAGGGGTGAGAGTTACACAGGATTTTCCATTGGTCAAAACTGTCCATCTAAGATTTGTGCACATCAACCTAAATAAATTCTACCTTAAAAAAAAAAAATCAAGTACAAGGCAGGGAGTAGACGAAAAAGAATGGCAGATGCTGATACTTGTTTAAGCTGGGTGATGGGTATATGAAGGTTCATCATCCTTTTTTACTTACTATGCTTATACTTGAAATTTTTCATAATAAAATTTAAAATGAAGATGGACAGAACTAGAACAAGTCTTAAAAGCAAACTCTAGAGCGTAAGCCCTAGGGATATAAACAAAAGCTTTTAGGGAGAGTGTAAGGCAGGATAGGGAACACGTGAGTCAGAGAGAACAGGAAGTATGCTCCTCCTGGCAGCCCCCAACGCTCACAGATGATACAGGATGGCCTGGGATGCCCCAAAGGCCCAAATCCACCATGCCTGCTCCACAAAAGGCCATGTCTGCATATCCACGGCACAGACCTGGATTTCTGGGCAGAGTGCAACACACACAGTCTACCACACCACTGAACCGTACAGTGTATTTAAAGAAACACATTTTATACTAAGAATTAAATTATGCACTGGAGGAAACTAAAAGACAAAACAAACACACAAACATAAAAAACCAAAAACAGACTCACAGGTATAGAGAACATACTGGTGGTCACTAGAAGGGAGGAGGTTGGGGGGAATGGGCAAAATAGGTGAAGAGGTATTAAGAGGTACAAACTTCCAGTTACAAAACAAGTCATAGGGATGTAACATACAGCACAAAGGATACACTCAATAATATAGTAATAACTTTGTATGGTGACAGATGGTAACTAGCTATTGTGGTGATCACCTCGTAATATATAAAAATATCCAATCTACTGGTATAATATTGTAAATTATGCTTCAACTTAAAAAATACACTGCAAAGTTACTTTTTTTGGACAATTACTATTTTCTTGATAGTTTTGATTCTTGGTGTCTCAATCTTATGCACAAGAAATAAAAAAGAAAATTATATATTAAAAAATTCAATGTGATACTTTGAAAAATGAATTACACCAAATCCCTACTTGCTGAATCAGCTTATGAAGTTCCGATATTTGTATATACATCTCAATGTATCAGCCTATTTCAGGGTAAAGCTAGGATCTAGCTGTAGAAAGAGAATGTTAGTGTCAACAGGTGGCAAAAAAAAAAAAAGGGGGGGGGGACATTCTCTTAGAAGCAAATAAAATAAAACACCTTTCTTGCTTGATCATCCTCTTACCTTCGGCCCGGATCCAATCGTCCATGAGGGCCCCGAGCAGGAAATCTGTTCAGGTGGCTCAGATGAAGTGTATGGGATGTTTGGAAGAGACTCAGAGCTGCAGAAAGGAAATGGCTGGTGACTCAAAACCCCCTAAATATTTGCCCAACTTTCCTGTACCTTTCTTCCAGTGCATGAAATACCCACATCTATTCTGAGAGCAGCAACCTAACAGTTACAAGTCCATCCATCCCAAGTACCCCATAAAGCCACACGCCCAATATCCATGCCACTGATACTCACGCTTCTGAGG